ACTCCCTTCCTTCAAGTAATTGTTCGAATTGCTACATTAGCCTGGGCCATGTTATGGAGCTTATGGAAAGGAAAGATTTTTATTTGAGGGTTTTAATCCCTCAAAATTTTGTTGTTGTTGTTGTTTGGGGGGGTGGTAACTGTTACCTGCTTCAAGTGTTTAGAATACCATTGCCTATATAAGATTGTCCGTGTGTGTGTGTGTGTGTGAGAGAGAGAGAGAGAGAGAGAGAGAGAGAGAGAGAGAGAGAGATGTCTCTCGGTTTTGTAGTTGGGAGTCACTGAAAACATGGGAAAGTGGAGGGAAGGAACAACCTATTGGGAATGCCAAAGGATATTTTAGCTTTGCACAGAAGAGGTCTAACACCTCATAACTCATGGGAGTATGCCAAGAAAGCCAGAAGTAAACCCTGAAATACCTTTCCTTAATGTGTAAGACAAAAACCAACCCAAAGCACGTTACCCTTGGCTCATGTCTCTCTTGGAACTTCTCAGGTTTGGGACAATGAATGGCAGCAAACGCAGAGTGGGGATGCTGGGGCCTCCCTTCCCACAGGAAGGCCACGTGAAGTACATCTAAGTTGCCAAGAAGTTGTTTTTAATTCACCTTTCTGGAGCATTTCCTTCAAAAGAAGTGAAACACGTACATTCCTGTTGAAGCAGACTAATGCAGCCCAGACAATAATACCCTATAAATATTCATGATTTTGTTTTAACATTAAGATAACATCTGTTTGAAAACATCTGCAATCTGTTTTCAATGCTTCAGTAACATTTAAATTAAGTGTAACTAATACAATAAAGCTCTATTAGGGATAATGATAATGAAAGATGCCCATTAAGAGACATGAATAACATGGACTGCAGGCCACAGCAGGGGAGCAGGAAACAGACTCAGGCAAACTTAAGCTCAACCATTATCAAGGCTCTTCACCACCGCCACAGCGGATTACTGGTTAGAATGGTCTTTGGCAGCTTTTCAGTTATCTTGAGATGGCAAGAACATAGACACACCTTATATGCAGGTACTGATCAGATCTGCCTTCCCATTCTGACAATATTCACTTGGAAGGGGCCCTGTGTATTTCAATGGAATGATTTCCAAAGTAGGAGGCTTGAGGCAGGCCTCCGCAACTTGAGACTTGCCACGTTGAAAATCAGCCCACCAGCCATGCATGGCAACCCACCTTGATGGTCATTGCTCCCCAACAGGGAGCCCACAAAACAATGGATTTGTCAAGCGCTCAGCAGCTCAAAACACCTGGCTAGTAGGTTTGATTTGGTTTGGTTTGATGTGCCACCAGTTGTGTAGGACTGCTTTAGATTCTTAGCCTTACTGTATTTAGCTCAGGCTCAACTGTGATCTTTGAACATCTTCCTGAAGTACAGCATCTGTTTCAGAAGCCTGGGATCCTAATATCGCACAAGGCACATTTATGTACCACGTCATAGGGTTAAACAATATAGTTGTTGCTCCCTCTAGTGGCCAGACATAATTCGATTTTCCCTTAGGAGTGGTCTCTTGTACCAACCTCTCATCTCTGCGATTTTTGTGATGCGTGGCTCTCTTGATGCATTACGGTATTTTAATATTTTGTTGGAAGCCGCCCAGAGTGGCTGCGGAAGCCCAGCCAGATGGGCAGGGTATAAATAACAAATTGTTGTTGTTGTTGTTGTTGTTGTTGTTGTTATGAGTTCCCCAGTAAGCAAGGGACATGTGTAAATTTGTTTTTGTTGTTTTACAAGTAGGGTGGAAAATAAAACTGGATTATAAACAACACAAGTAATCACAAAGGGACTGCCAACGGGTAAGTGTTGCTTATTTCAATTGTGTTTGTTTGCAAGCAATGACCACAGTCCACCTTTTTTTGTACCAAGAAAGAAAGAAAGAAAGAAAGAAAGAAAGAAAGAAAGAAAGAAAATTCCGATTTCAAAAAAACGTGGCCCCTAAATCAAGAAACCTCTCTTGAGGTTCCCGAAAGCTCAAAATGCAGTCTGAAGTTCAGGAGCAAGAGCAAGGAGAGATTTTAGCAGCAACAGCAAGTTGTATATAATTTATTATATATTATCACAATAATTTTTAAAAACAAATGTTTAGAAAAGCAAAGAGAGCTATGCAAACACCTGCATCAGGTTTCCTTTTAAAGTCTCCAAACTGCTTATTTTATGTTCAGGTGCGTTGAAAGAGAAGTTTGGCAGCTCTGAAGGACACCTTCTGAAAAAAGTGTCAGATCAAAGTCTGAAGACCACTAGCAGAGTATAAAGCCGTCTGAGATCAGCACAGATTAAATGTGATGCAGCTATTAAAGTGTGTTCTCATGCCCACCTGGAGATGTAAAGCATTTCCTTTTCAAGTACAGTGTTCTGTGTGAAAGCAGAGCTCTAACCAAGTGATGGAAGTCCACATAGGCATAGACTCAACTGTAAATCCTTGGGTCAGAAACATTATTGCTACCTGTGTGTTCTGCGCAGAGCCAGGAGCGCTTGGTTTAGTGGGAGGCAGAATAATGCTGCATCCACAAGATTCCAGGCAGACAGATGCAGAAAAGAAAAGCATTGGTGGAATCTGAGTTTATAAAGGTTTATTAATCTAGATTTCTTATTATTTATAGCACACTCCTCATGGACACATGTGAAAAAACAGTACTAACAACGCACAGTCCTCCAAGCATTGTAGACAAGCCACAGCAATCCCAGTTGCACCGCTGTGCCCAACTCTACTTAAACTAAGCAAAGTCAAGTCGCAGGCAGTAAATTGCTCCTTTTTCTTTTGTGTGCGTGTTTGCATGTGTGGTGATGTTTCACAGTTTGATTATCAGTCATGAAAAGACATTACTTAAAGCAGCAGTGACACTGTCTAATCATTCTTGTGAAATATAGACTTCTCTCTCCCCTTCAGACAGAGCCGGCATTAATACACATTTATGCAAAGCAGAGACAGATCTGTCACAGGCTAATCTTTGCAAGTATGATAGATGATGTTTATTTTCAGTGATGGAATGAAACACCCCGGCTGACAATAATTGTAATAAAAAGGACAGATCAACTTCTATAAAATGATTGAATTACCAAGTCTATTGCATTAATGCCTTCTCTCAGCTGTGTCATAAACCTGCTTTAGGTTTGTTCCAAGTTACGGTACACTGGGAAGCATCCACCTTCAGCGAGACATCCTGCCCTTGACCTGCACTAATCAGAGGGCAGCCGTGTTTGGATGCCATTTCTGGCCATGGCTATTTGTATTCATTTAGAGCATGAAACAATGTTTCCCAGTCCCTGGCAGAAAGTAAGAGAAGAGCACTATACTCAATTTTACAGGGGTTAGACCAGAGAGTCCGGAGGTGATTAATAAGGTGCCCAAATTCCATACATTATTTGAACTCTAATAGAACATCATGCACTGTGCTGAATGGGGAAAAAGGGGGTTTATCAATAGTCATCTCTGCCTGCTAGCTATCAAGCCAAGTGCTAGGTTATACTGCTGGCATTTAAAGCCTGAATCAACTCGGGACTAGCAGACCACCTCCCTTAGTACAGATCAATCTTTAAGATCTTCCATTGAGACCCTGCTGGCCGTTCCATGGCCAACTTGATGACAATGTGGAAGGGTAAGTTTCTCAGTGATAGCACCCACCTCCCAGAATGCCCTCCCATGAATAATAAGCAAGACAGAGACAGGAAAGACCTTTAAACACCTCCTAAAATCAAATACCCATATTTTTAACTCTGTCTTGTCCAGTGCCCAGATCACACAAACACACACACACACACACAGGAATGGAGAGAGAGGATGGGAAGGAAGGGGAGAGGAGAGGAGGGGCACTCTCAATCTGCCAGCCCAAAGGCTATTATGGTAGCAGATGGGACAGTTCTACTGCTGCACAACAGATGTGCTGGGAGAAACATATTTCGTGGGAAGAAGGGCTGCTTGCTAAACCACTGCAGTAACTGTTGCTCTGGGAGGGAAATAGGAGGTCTCCTGAATACTCTCGGCAAACTACAGTTCCCAGGATTCTTCTGTCATGACTGTTTAAAGTGGTATCATAATCTGAACAAGACCTTAATCAGATTCAGCTCATATATGTCAGAAGCAACATGCCTTTATAGATTTTATAGCATTTTTAATGTTTTTTTGAGGAACTGTTTCATTTAGCATTTTATGCAACCCATCTGTTCATCTGTACTATGTGGACATCAACACAATCTTGCTCCCACCCACCCCATCTGTCCCTGGATGCAGCAGTGACACAGGCAACCAGAAATCAGGTGACACCTGCTGCACCACCCCACCACCCACGACAGTATAGGGTAGAGCAATCAATTGATTGATTGATTGATTGATTGATTGATCGATCAATAGATAGGCAGATGTGTTATCTTACCCAATATTAATGTGAGGGTTGCATTTGCAGTGTTGCTCATAGTACTACTGTTTTTAAAAGTGGTGATCATTCATACCAAAGTTACAACTATTACTTAAGAGATGAAATGACCCACTACTGGAAGGGGTTGGCATTAACATGTTTAAAGGGAGAAATTACATAATTTTTACATAACAAAAAACCATCAAAAAAGTCTCTAAGCCTTTTGCCTCATATATCCTTGAATGTTTTTTCCCCTCCTCACATAACATTTCTAAGGCATTCCTCCAAACATTTCATAAATATTGCAGAAGTAATTGGGGTTATAATAAAGGCAGAGGAAGCCTGAGCTCTTCAGCTGGCCTGCATATGCTAGCCTGGATTTCTCTAGTGTCATTTGCTTCCCAGCCAGTCCTGTTTAAACCCGATACAGCCTCGCCTTTGAACACACAAAAACTTCCAAGTGCCTTGAAGTGCGATGAGAGGCTTGGAGCACTTAGAGATTCAGGCATCTGTGAGACATTTTGATGTCTTCCCCAAGCACTGGGGTGCTTTTTGTTTCTCTGTTTGTTGTCACCACTTTCATTAAACTTGCATTAGATCTGAAAGTGCAGTGGACTCTACCTGAGATTTTTCAGAACTATGTTATCATACCTTCCTTGAGTTCTTCATGAAGAACCTTGGCAGACTCGTGTCTTCCAAAGTCCCTGTAGACCCATGCATAAGAGGCTGGCATGAGAAACCTCCAAGCAATCCTGTTTGCATTCCACACCCCTGTGGATAAAAAAAGGCATGTATTATTTTTTCTGGAAGCTGAATGTTATGAAAATTAAGTGCGTAGGTTGTAGGAACCCGCATGTAGACAGTACTGGGGAAAGAACTTGGGACTAAGGACCTTTCAAATGTTTGAGAATGTGCAGTTGGTTTAGTCTGGGTCCAGGGAAAGGTTGTGTGAGGTCTGGTGTCAGCAAAAGGGGTTCCTCTGAACCAGGAGAGTGAGGAGGAATAGGAACACTATCAGGAAACTTCAGTGGAATAAGTTTTGTTTACCTTGCATGCTGAGAGGTTTGCACCTGCCCTAGAAGATAAATCAGATTTTCCATCTTGTGTTCCTCACACTTCAGTCTGAAACCAGTTCACTGGTCTCTTAGAGCTAAAGTATATATCAACTTCACTACTACTCCAATTAGAGGAGGCCTATGAAAAGCTCCATTCTATTCTCTCACCACTTTGATGGCAAGTGTGTTTTCATGGGTCTTAACAACATAAGAAAGAAAACATATCTTAAAGTGTCAGGAAAAATGTGTGGTATTCATTGATTTTTTAAAAAAATAAAATAAAATGCCCAGCTTGTTTTCATTGGGTGTTGACACAGACAGAAAGTTTCCCTGTCCCACTCCAGGAAATTGGGGCAGGGTTGTTTTCTTTCCCATTTACTGGCTAATATATATTTTTTTTAACTTTTGGCATTCTGAAACCTGCGAAGACAGTTCGGAGGCCAACACATTTTCCTCTTATAAGTCAGGGCATTCCTGTTAGCTTGCTTCTTTGAGTTAAACACACCTTCTGTATTGTTGTCAAAGAGGTGGGGGGTAGGTCTTCCAGAGGAAGCACTGCAAGTGGGTTGCTAAGATGGTGTGAATGGCTCTCAGATTCAACCTCCAGCCCAGTTCTTGAATGCATGTTGATTGGCTGATTGACACAAAGTGTGTATGGAGGAGTGGAGTAGCATTTTCATACCAATGGGCAGCCTCCCCGGGACCACATGACAGTGGTGGGTGGGGACAGAGGCAAAAATGGGTGGATCAAGAGATGTGACTCTTACCGTTGTATGATAGGCCACATTCCATCCAGGCAAAAGCCCAAAGCTTCCATACACAGAGAGTCAAACACATATCTCTCAATCCTCCATATGGTGGGGGGAGGGCAGAGGTCTTTTTACAGTACTGTACACATTTCAGCCTGGCAAAAGTACTTGAGGGGTTGCAGAGCAAGCTCAATAGGAAGTGTGATCTGAGAGGAAAGGGTGTAAGGGCCAGACAGAAATGTCTGGAGGGTCACATTTGATGTCCAGGCCCAAGATTCACCAATTCACTTTGATATTACCTTACCCTGTTACCCATGCCTTAGGCCCAGCCTTCTAGTGTTCTAGATCCAAACTCCCAAGAGCTGACTGGCTTTCCCAGCTGGCTTTCCCATGGGCCTTTGCCATGAGTGTCTCTGCATGTTGGGCTTTTGGTCTTGTTTTAAATGCATTTTTTGGTTTTTTTATTATCTTCTGTGTAAATTGCCCTGATAGTGGTTTAGAAGGTGATGATAAATCAGTGGTAAAATAAAATAATAACCCTAACCTCATGGTGAGTTTTCACCCATATTTTCAACTTTTAGAAACACTCACTTTCCAAGTTACACAATGCCCATTCAAGATTAATGGTGGGTGCCAGTGAGTGGAAGGAAACAATGTGATTACTTTTGCTTCACACAGCGAGATTTGTTGCTATTGCAGCACATGAATGGAAACTCACCACAAAGAAACAGTCTGAGTACAGAGTAGGTAACAGCTAGACCAGGAGGCCTTGCTTAGCTTATTTAGTCGAATCCTGTGGAGGGAACTCCTTGGTAGATTCCTCCATGGAGTACCAGTGGCTTTCTGTTTGTGGGATATAGAGCCTGGATTGCACAGACTGATCTGTGGGACTAATGAGAGACTGGTTCCACCTTTGACTCAGTGGCCTTTCATTTCTTTCCAGCTCCTTAAGTACCGTATACAGGTGAGGGATTGCAGGCTGAATTCTCCTTTGTCTGGAAAGCGCCCTGCTTGTAAGAAGCTAGCTTGCCCATTAATGAGGGCTTAAGCCATGACTTCTCTCTGATATGCCAGCTTTCTAGGTGCAGAGAGAGGAGACAAAGACATACAGAGAAGAGTAAGAGAAACATGTGGTTTTCTGACCCATATGGTTGTACCATATGATGTTCCATGTTTGTAACTCGGCACTGAAGGCTTGATTTATGAGATGCAGAACTGCCACTGCTCCATGTGTCTCACCCTGCTCTTACTTGCAAATATGTTGCAGGACATGGTGTCAAGCCAGCTATGCATTGTCCCACCTCCAGTGTTCGAAACTGTTCTAGGCACATTTTACAACAGGGAATTTCATTAGCGCAAGCAGTTTCTGAGCTCTGGGCGCAGTACTCCGCCTAAGATTTCAGATTAAAACTGGAAGGAAAGGAGGACCTTTTTCTGCCTCCCCACTTCCAGCTACTCTCTGAAGACAGGAGAAGAGACCCTCTTAATAATATTAGGGGGGTGGGCAGGGGAAAGACTAGACCATGTGAAAAATGAACCTAATATTTTAGCTGCAGTTCATTCATTTTCAGCTTTGAATTCTTGTTATTAAAAAGTGTGCCTAGACATTCCATTGTTGTGCCCATAACCTAGGCTTAAGTTGCCATTTAGCTCCTAGCTTTCATATCTCAGTTCCTAACACTGCCCACCTCACATTACTGACTGACAGCAGTCAGAGTGAGGCAATGACATGGCCTGTATTGTGCTTGTCTAGACATTGCACAGAGGAAGGATGGGGGAGAAGACATGAACAAAAAGAAGTTCCATGCATTTATAATATCAAGTAAAGCCCCATGATGCATGGACTGTGTGCCTCCTGCCTGTTGAAAAGCCAGTGCTATAACTTCTACGGAACAGAGCACATTCCTGTGGTTCTGAAGGAGACCCACAATGGGCTCTTGCTGAAAAACCAAACTACTGTATGTTCTGCTAGCCCTTAGTGTTGTGTTCATGATTGTGTACAGATTAAAGTTTCCCCTATCACCACTAGAATCAATTATCTGGGTCCCAAGAATGACTCTGTTAATATGAGACAAAACCTAACCCATATTAAATTTACAACACATAAAAGAAAGCAATGCTATACCACAGTTATAATGAGGATGCAGAATGGCTAATGGGGGGAGGGGCATGTTCGGTTGTAAGCACACAGACCAGCACAAAGTAAGGGATACTTAAACTCCATTTATGCCATTGGGTCATAAGCACATGTAACTAGGCTGGCTGCTTGAACTGGATTGCTGAAGTGAGCCAGTGCATACTGAACAGGTTGTTATACTCCAGTTGTCCCGAGTGGCTGGGGCAAACCCAGTCAGATGGGTGGGGTACAAATAATAAAATAATTATTATTACTGGCAGGCACTGGCTGTTTCTAATACAAACTCTTGTTTTGCTGATCCCATGCACTTTGTATTAGTGGGGAAACATGGCTAATTTGTTTTGGTCTATTACAGATGCTGTAAAAAGGTAAAAGTAAAGGACACCTGACAGTTAAGTCCAGTCGCCAACGACTCTGGGGTTATGGTGATCATCTCACTTTACTGACTGAGGGAGATGATGTTTGTCTGCAGACAGTTTTTCCGGGTCATGTGGCCAGCATGACTAAGCCACTTCTGGTGAAACCAGAGCAGCTCACTAAAACGCCATCTACCTTCCTGCCGGTACAGTACAGATTTATCAGTACAGATGCTGTACTGATACACAAAAGGTGAGAGCACATAAGCATCCCATGTCTTGGGGTCTGAGGATGACTGATCTGATGACCTAGGCTAGGAAAGTTCATCAGCAAGGCAAAATAGCAGTAGCGATTCCCATTTATTCCCAACATCTGGGTGGATAGGGGTCCACCCTTTCTAAATATGGAGCCTGCATTTCATGTTATTACAGTGAAAAAGACTCAATATAATTTTATTTCATTCAAAGGCCTCGTTTTTCGCCCGTTTCTTAAAACAAGCATTGTCAGCACAGAAAACGAACCGCAAAAATATCAGCTGCCCAAAACATTCTTTTTTAAAAATAAAAGTAAATGTTTGGCGATACCTGGCTTCTTGAATCTAAAAGACAGATTCCTTGAGAGCATAAGCTGGAGGTAAGAAAGTTCTCTGACAATAGTCAATGCAATTTCAAAAATATTACTGTGGAATTATTATTATTATTATTAAATAGCTAAGAAGAAGTAGCTGTTGTAAGGATTGCTGATATAATGCTTATGAAGCTCTGTATCAAGTGCAACCAATGTGGTGTCATCCAGACACTGTTGAGTTCCATGGGACATACTCCCAGGTAAGTGGGTGTAGGATTGTACCCTTAGTCCAGATCCAATTGGCTCTGCAAATGTGTATTTTCCAATGGAGGATAAGGCCATCATTGACTACTAACCCAGGCGGCTATTTTCTACGCTTTGCAATACCAGTTGCTGGAAACCGCAGGTGGGCAGAATGCTGTTGCGCTCAGATCCTGCTTGAGGGATTTGCATAGGCATCTGGTTGGCCACTGTGAGAACAGGATGCTGGACCAAAGGGGTCACTGACCTGATGCAGCAGAGCTCTTCTTATGTTCTTAAATTTATGTTAATGTGAGTATTATCAAAAACACTCACATGGAAGAAAATGTTACAGACCCTGACCCAAACCAAGGTGAATGATGTTGTGGCTGCCCCCTCTTAAACCTCCTTCTCTCTCCCCCTTCCTCCCTCTGGTAGCATAAAGGGAAATTAGGTCCTCAGTTTCCAGCCTACCCACAAAGTCCTTGAACTAGCAAGAAACGTTAGCAGATGTTCATTAACGCACAGGCAACTGGAGGATTGGAGGCGTTTGCTAGTGATCCATGTTATGAATAAATGTTTGAAAGTCTCTACAGGGGAATAGCAATTCTGGTTCACAGCCAGTTGGCTACATATTACCGAAGGGTTGGGTGGGAAAGGGGTTAGGCTGAACAGCTTTGGTTTTGTAATTGTAATTGTTATTATTATAAATCTGAAAAGTAAACTGCCTAAAACATATGGAAATTTACATGCATTAACCCCCCAGCCGCCCTGAACATTTGAAAGGGAAATACTTGCGTGAGAACAATGATTTCAGGTTAAAAGGGGGGATTTTGTAAAGGTAAAGAGTTTCCGATCCCACTCTAAATTTGTTGTCAATTTGCCCTGTTGACTCAAAGGCTATGCCTTATTTAAAAACACTACCAACACAATCGTAAGATTCACCTTTACACATGGCAGCCTTAACTTGTGAGTGGGGAAGAAACATTACTTATTTACCCCCTAATTAGAACAACAATAAGAACTTTTTGAAGGCCGCTTTGCCTAATGTAAGTGGCAGGAGTTTGGAAAGAGGTGAAAAGCAGATGGTTATGTCTGAGGAGATTGCAACTAGTAGCTTCTCCTTTTTTACACCTATAGGTTTAAGAGACCTAGGCAGATTCATCCTTAATGAAGATCAAAATAAGCTGATGGATGTAAAACATTCCCACCCAGCCACCTTACAAGGAAGTACATAGCCCTTAGGCAGATCACCTCCTTTCTAAGAGCCATTGCATTATCATGGTTAGTGTTGGACTAAGACTTGGGAGACCAGGGTTCAAATCACCACTGAGCAATGAAGCTCACTGGGTAGGTGGCCTTGTGCAAGTCACTGCCTCTCAGCCTATTCTACCTCACAGGGTTGTTGTGGAGATTGCTAAGGAGACTAGCATCCCTAATTAACATTTGCCTAAGCAAGATGTGAATTGAACCACAGTCATCCTTCAAAACTTGCACCTCTCCAAGTTTTGCAATGCAAATTCTCCAGTGAAGTTATATGTGCAAAATTGACCATATGAGTGTAAAATGTGCATAATAAATACATATATTAGTGGAAATAACACACCAAATTTCATAATATAACAGAAAAATGCCCTGCACAAATGTGTATATTAGGCAAAACTGCACACATAAATGTGCATGTATTTGAAGAAATTCACGCTGAAATCTTACAATTTTTCATGAAGACTTTTATTTTTTTAGATCGCAAACTGATGTGGAAATTTGCAGAACTGAATTTAACATTGGATAAATGGGGGAAATGAGAAACAGAGAAACTGAAACTGACATATTTCCCCATCCCTAGTTATTTCCTCATATTCCTGACATGGGTGGATCTGAGGTCAACAAGAAGAAAAATGCAATCCCAACCAAACTGACATTTGGCTGACCTCGACCAACCCAAATCAGCATGGCAATGTAGGAATCAGTATTTTGCTCCACCCAGAGAGCATTCTTTCCCACCATATGCTATATTGGACAGCAACTTGGATAGCTGTACACTTACCTTTTAAAGCTTGTCCATGCAGCATTTTGGACTTGTATCTGCCTCCTTCAGAAAGGGCCCTGAAGGTTTGGCTCGTATTATGGACTAGGGAGAGAAAGAGAAAGAGAGAAAGAGACAGAGAGAATCAAAATGATGCTATACAAAAGCAAAGACCAAACAAACAAACAACCTTTTCACTTTCCTGTTTTAATTATCACAGTTGCCTGTAAAATATAAGAGAGATGTACCATGGGGGAGCTGTGGGAGTCTGCTTTTAACTTGTAGCTCAAGGCTATAACTTAAGCTCACCCTCTGCTTAGAGTAAAGTGATAGATTTTGACTGTGAGATGTGGTTTTTGCACACCAAAAGAATGCATAGATTAAATTAGCGTAAGCCAGGGCAGGCTGAATGCCACATCCGATCAATGCATATGGTTAAACTGATTGCAGTCAAATGAGCAGGCCATAGAGGAGGGGTGGGATTTTACATGGAAAATCCTCAGCAGCACCATTTTTTTTAAAAGTGCAACAAGAAAAATAAATGAAAGAATGTAAACTGAAATAAATTGGGACATTTGGAATAAGCTTATGCAAATGTATGTGGCTTTGAATTGCAAAATGCATTTCTGGGAATGCTATTGCTATTGTTTCAGAACAGGGTCCCAGTTCAAAAACTCTTGACACAATGAATAAAGTGGATGCACACAATCACACTTTCCTATCCTGGAAATATTTTACACTGGATTGTTACATTCAGTGCTGATACAAATGGATGGAAATGGGTTTTGTAGTATGGTTATTTTCCAGTTGTGTGGGGCAAGGAATTTACAGTTGAAAGATACTTGGAAACCTTTTGGTTTCTAGAAGTTCCACACACAGCACTGTAGTATTAAACTTCACTGGGTGGACAGAATGTTCATAGGAATATACTTGTTCATTCTCGCACAGCTCTGCATTTCCTGTTTGCAGCTGGGATCATCCCCTGAAGAAGCTGTCCTTGTGGTCTTTCTGGCTAGGAGGGAAGCATAGCACGAATTTCCTTCCAAGTTTATTTTCCAGAAGCAGGCTCAAGAGAGCTGGAGGGGTCAGAGATGAATCCAAATGTTTGCAAGCTTGCCTAAAGCCATGCTGCAGCTGCCTGGACATTTCCAAGGCCAGACATGGCCATTTCCTATTGAACACATGGCTCAAACCCTAGAGTAACAGCAATCCAGATTATTAATATTGAACACAGCAGCCATTTTGTGACTGGTGCCCACGTGCTCTATCAAAATTCCAGATGTGCCCACTGGCCCCCAAAGGTTGGTGATCCCTGAGTTATAAGGAAATCTGCTAATACAGACTAAATCTGCTAACAGCTGACTAAAGACCAACCATGCAACCAGATTGGTATGTCATTTATTTATTTATTTAATACCAGAGATGGAGAGCCTGTAGCCCTCCTGCTGTTGCTGGACTATGACTTCCATCATCCTTGATTTTTGAACATGTTGGTTGGGGCTGATGGGAGCTGAAGGGCCACAAGTTCCCCATCTCTGTTTTATATGAAGATTTCTATCCTGCCTTTCTCAAGTTTATAGCCCGTTCAGGGCAACAGACAACAATAAAAGCCAACTATATGATGTAACGCATGTATACAAAGATACCCTGTAATATAAACAGAGTTAACATACAAAACAAAGGCATCAGATTAAAAAATATATATCTGAGAAACCAAGCCTCCTAAACAAAGAGGGTTTCGCCATATGGTAAAACAGTATAAGCCTCTCTGAGCTAACCTTGACTTGTGTTTTTTTATGATTGACTGTAGTTCAAACTGTATTTTTCATTCCATCAACACCCTACTTTTGAGAAATTTATAGTGCATGAGGGCCGAGTTATGATCTGGACTCACAGACAAAATCACATGACCACATTTCCGTGAGGCCATCAGCTTTGATATAAATCCACTCAATGTCCCTGAATGTCAGGGCTGCCGTCCCAAATGCTATGACACAGGCTCTTATGTACAAGCAAGAGAGAAAGCTTTATTCAAGGCTTAGAACCAAACAGGTTAGCCCATGGCATGGCTAGAGAGAATTTGAGAACAGCATCGGGGATTACAGACCAGACAAAAACTGCAAATATGTCCCAACAAATGGCCATGCCCTTCTTCCCAGCTTTAAAAGGTGAGACATAGCACATTCACTCATGAACCTCTCCCTACAAGACTGGTGCACTTGAAGATGTGGGTCTGTTGCCAATGGTAGAGGTGCTGAGTTCTTGGTGACAGGATAGAAGTCAGCCCCCAGCTCCTCCCTCTCCAGCTGTCCAACCACCCTTCCTGGATGGTTGACACTCTCCCATGTTGCTAGGGAATCTCTCCACTCCATGGAAGAGGCAGGACCAAGAGCTGGTGGAACTTCTCCCTCTTCCTCAGCATCTAAAGGCAAAGAAGCAAGGTCTCTTCCTCCCTCTCAGGTTGTTTCCCACCACTGGGGTCTTCCACACCCTACGTCCTCATCTGAAAGCAACTGGCACCCCAACCCTGTGCCATTCTGGATCATAGGGCTCACAGCTCTGAATGCCAATGCCAATTTGATTGTACCACCCTTTTGAAAATTGTATAGGCAGCCTCTGAAGCCAAAATGACATGGACAAGAATTGACCAAATTTGGATAACTAGAGGACTGACACCTAAGACTCGAAAAGTGGAAATTTGCCCTAAAACTTGCTCGGACCATAATGCTGTGAAAATGGAGATGAAATTAACACCTACCGGTTCCTTCAGATGGAGGATGAATGACACCTTGTTTAGAGATCAAGAAGTTACCAAGAAGGCCCAAAAAACCTTGAGAGACTATTTTGAGATAAATATGAACACTACCATCGAAAAAAGAGTAATCTGGGACGCAAGCAAAGCAGTTATGAGGGGGTTCTAATTCAACAGAATGTAATAAAGAAGAGAACTCAAAATGAGAAAAAAGATAAAATTTTGGAAAAAATAAAAGAGGGTGAGAAGAAACTGAGAGCGAAACCAAAGTCACAAGAGATTCTGAGAGAAATAAAGTTATACCAAGTTCAATATATGAAGATGATGAATCAGGAAATAGAATGGAAAATTAAACAGATGAGACAAAGGACATTTGAATCGGCAAATAAATGTGGAAAACTGTTAGCTTGGCAAATGAAAAAAAGACATAAACTTAACACCATTACCAACTTGGAAATGGAAGGAAAGAACATCCAGAATCCAGTGGAAATTAGAAAATGCTTACAGAGATACTTTAAACAGTTATATACACAAGGGCCACAGAAAGAGTTTGATTTAGACCAATTCTTAAAAACAAATGGACTTCAAAAAATATCTCAAGAAAATAAGTTAATGTTGAACTACAAAATAACAGAACACGAGGTGGAAGGCGCCATCCAGAACATGCAGTTGGGCAAATCTCCAGGGCCAGATGGCTTAACCTCAAAATATCATAGATCCTTGAAGGATTGGATAATTCAACCACTGAAGGAGGTTTGTAATTAAATTTTGGAGGGGGAAAAAGCGCCAGAGTCATGGAAGGAAGCTTATATTACACTAATACCGAAAAATGAGTCTGAAAAGACACAACTTAAGAACTACCGCCCCATATCCCTGCTTAATGTGGATTATAAAATTTTTGCAGATATTTTGGCTAAAAGGTTAAAAAAAGTATTAGTGGAGGAGATACATAAAGACCAAGCTGGCTTTCTCCCGGGTAGACACTTGTCTGACAACACGAGGAATATAATCAACATTTTGGAGATGTTGCAAGTGAATATTAATACTAAAGCTGTTTTAATTTTTGTAGATGCGGAGAAAGCCTTTGACAATATTTCTTGGAGTTTCATGAAGAAAAATCTTCAGGGGATGGGGGTTGGTCAAGGGTTTGAAAATGATATAAGTGCAATTTATTCAGAACAAAAGGCTAAACTAATAGTTAACAATGTGGTGACAGAGGAATTTAAGATAGAGAAAGGGACACGACAAGGCTGCCCAATTTCCCCATTGCTTTTTATTTCGGTCCTGGAGGTTCTGCTAAATATGATCAGAAGGGACCGTCTGATCAAAGGTATACAGGTCGGAGCCAAACAGTACAAATTGAAAGCTTTTGCAGATGATTTAGTATTGACGTTACAGGAGCCAGAATCTAGTACTAAAAGAGTATTAGAATTGATTCAGGAATTTGGTCATGTGGCAGGATTTAAGTTGAACAAGTTAAAAACTAAGGTGCTTGAGAAAAATTTAACACCGATTGAGAAAGAGAGGTTTCAGAAGGAGACAGGTTTAACATTGGTTAAGAAAGTAAAATACCTGGGGGTTAATATGACTGCTAAGAACTTAAACCTATTTAAAGACAATTATGAGAAATGTTGGTCAGAAGTGAAAAAGGACCTAGAGATATGGTCAAACTTGAAGCTTTCCTTGTTAGGTCGAATTGCTGTTATAAAGATGAATGTATTGCCAAGAATGTTATTTTTGTTTCAATCATTGCAAATCTTGGACAAAGTGGACTGTTTCAAGAAGTGGCAGAGAGACATTTCTAGATTTGTCTGGCAGGGCAAGAAGCCCAGAATAAAATTTAAAATATTAACTGATGCAAAGGATAGAGGTGGATTTACCTTAAACTTTATTATGAATCAGCAGCATTCTGCTGGTTGAAAGAATGGCTGCTTCTTGAGAACACAGACATTTTGGATTTAGAAGGTTTCAATAATGTTTTTGGGTGGCATGCATATTTGTGGTATGACAAGGTTAAAGCACATAAAGCATTTAAAAACCATATTGTTAGGAAAGCATTGTTAAATGTCTGGATAAGATATAAGGACTTACTTGAAAATAAAACCCCAAGGTGGTTGTCACCGATGGAAGCAAAGGCTCAGAAAAAGCTCAATATGGAGGCCAAATGGCCGAAATATTGGGAAATTTTGGAACAAGAAGGAGACAAATTGAAATTGCAGAGTTTTGAGAAATTAAAAGATAAAGTGCGAGACTGGCTTCATTATTACCAGATAATGGAGGCATACAATTTGGACAAGAAAATTGGCTTCCAGGTGGAAAAATCAAAATTAGAAACAGAACTGTTAGAACCCAA